TGCTCGTCTCTATGGGGCATAGTGGTGCAGGCCTATAGTCCCAGCTACTCAGGAGGCTGAGGCAGACGGATTGCTTGAGCCCAGGAGTTGGAAGCTTCAGTGAGCCAAGACTGTGCCACTGCACTCCAGCTTGGGCAACAGAGAGAGACCTTGTCTAAAAAAAAATAACAACAGTCCAGGCGCAGTAATCCCAGCATTTTGAGAGGCCAAGGTAGGAGGATTGTTTGAAAACAAAAGTTGGGGACCAACCTTGGCAATATATCGAGATCTTGTATCTAAAAAAAAAAAAGCAAGGTATGTTGTCAAGCACCTGTAGTCCTGGCTACAAGAGAGGCAAAGTGGAAGGATTGCCAGAGTCCAGGAGGTCAAGGCTGCAGTAAGCTGTGATTGTGCCACTGCACTCTAGCCTGGGTGACAGAGTGAGAACCTGACTGAAAAACAAAAATCAAAATAAATGAACCTAACTGTGTATCAAATTGTTAACCTAACCTGACCTAACTATAATGGTCAATTTTATGTGTCAACTTGACTGGGCTAAGGGAGACCCAGATGGCTGGTAAAATATTTCTGAGTCTGTCTTCCAGGGTGTTTCTGGAATAAATTAGCATTTGAATCAGTGACCTGAGTAAAGTGTGGGCAGGAACCATCCAATCCATTGAGGGTCCAAATAAAACAAAAGGGTGGAGAAAGGGCAAATTCTGTCTCTCTCTTCTTGAGTTGGGACATCCATCTTCTCCTGTCTTTGGGCACTGCTGGTTCTCAGGCCCTTAGACTCCAGGATTTATACCAGCCTACCCATCCCCCACTTCTTGGGCTTTTGGCATCTGAGTGGGAGTTACAACACCAGCTCTCTTGGTTCTCAGACCTTCAGATTTGGACTAAATTACACCACTGGCTTTCCTCAGTCTCCAGCTTGTAGACAACAGACTATGGAACTTCACATCCTCCATAATCATGTCAGCCAATTCCCATAATAAATCTCCTCTTATATATCTATGTCTAGCCTATTAGTTCTGTTTCTATGGAGAACCCTAATATACTAATCTAACACAGAAAAAAAGAATTAATTCAAATAATTTTTGAACACACTTCTCTATATTTATCTAATGGAATAAACTCAAAGGACAAACATAGCTAGAGAGATCTTGACATTTCTTTAGTTGGCCTGTGGTTAGTAGCAGTATCTCTGAAACTATATGTAAATATAAATATATAAATATTTGTAGAGACAAGGTCTCACCTTGCTGCCCAGGCTGGTCTTGAACTCCTGAACTCAAATAATCCTCCCACCTCAACTTCCCAAAGTGCTGAAATTACAAGCGTGAGCCACCATGCCTTACCTCTCTGAAACTATTTGGAAGGTATTTTAGAAAAGAGAAAAATAAATACATATATTGATTTACTGAAAACAAGGGTTCTCACTATGGAGAAAGGAGATATTAGGTTGAACCATATAGAGTTACCATTTTTTTGTAGATAAAAAATGATCGACTATTGGCAACTTCATATGCTTCAACCAAATACAAACATGAAATAGGGAAGAAGAGGGAGAAGACTGAGGAATGGTATGGAATAGAAGTATTCGGATGACTTCATGCCACTAGCTCTGTTTCCTGAGAGGGCCCAGAAGGCAGTGACAACCAGCAGCAATGAGCACACTCAACACTCAGAACTTGGTTTCTAAATCCCATTTCTCTATACAAGGGATGAGGGCTTCTTTGAGAACTGGTCAACTTCAGGGCTATGGCAGGAGGAAGTGCTCAAAGAAAGATGGAAATGTCAAAGGGATACAGAAAGATGTCACTGGAACAATTAACTGTGGATTAACTCAGAGAATGGTATGAATGTTAGATTTTCCAATTACAGTGATTATATAAGAGAATGACCTTAGCTGTGTGTGGTGGCTCATGCCCATAATCCCAGCACTTCGGTTGGCAGAGGTGAGAGAATTGCCTGAGCCAGGGGTTTGAGACCAGCCTGGGCAAATTGATGAGTCCTCATCTCCACAATAAATGAAGAAAAATTAGCTAGGCATGGTGGCACATGCCTGTAGTCCCAGCTACTTGGGAGGCTGAGATGGAAGGACCACCTGAGCCCAGCAGGCCAAGGCTGTGGTGGCCGTGAGTGTGCCACTGCACTCCAGCCTGGGCAACAGTGAGACTCTGACTCAAAAAAAAAAGAAGAATGACTTTGTTTTTAGGAAATATACACAGAAGTATTTAGTGACAAAGGGCACAATGTCTTCAACTTACACTCAAATGGTTCAGGTGAATTTTACACACACACACACACACACACACACACACACACACACACAGAGAGAGAGAGAGAGAGAGAGAGAGACTATAATAAAGCAAATGGGATCACATGTAAACAACTGATTAATCTAGCTAAAAGATATACAGGAGTTCAATGTACTGTTCTTGCAAATTTTTCCTTTTTTTTTTTAAGGGACAATGTCTCACTATGTTGCCCAGGCTGGGGTGTAGTAGATATTCATAGCAGTAGTAATGGCCTATTCCACAGTCCGGAACTCTTGGACTCAAGCAATCCTCTTGCCTCAGCCTCCCGTGTAACTGGGACTACAGGCACATGCCACTGTGCCCAGTTAAGTTTGAATGATAGAAAAATATATCAACCCTCCTCTCCACAAAAAAGCATAGAAGTCAGCTTGAAGATTTCGCTGGCCAAATTTGGACAAATTTGAGCATCAAGAACAATGATCATGAATGAAAAAAGAATATACGAATTCATATTAATATTTAAGGAATTTTTTAAAAGGAGAGGGAACTTTTCTTGACCAAAACATGCCTATAAATTTAGAAGAAATGACACACTTGGAAATTCATGATTTTGCAACCATAATGTAATAATGAATTCATGAATTGATGCTAAAACTGTCAGGCAAATGATTATTGGAAAAACATGATATTTATAGTCTCAAAGAATTACCTCACACATGGCTTATTTACCCCTCAAGGAGCAAGGGACCTAGACCATGGAGGAATCCAGCAGACCCCAACATGACCAGGTGGTTAAACTTCACATCCTTACTAACAGGCAAACTGATGTCCTGGATCTCTTGATGACTTGTCACCTACTCTCCTTACTGCCCTAAATGTTTAACCCTAGGATCTAGACTGTGGGAAAATCTAAAGAAAACAGGCTCTTCAAAAATGTCAGTGTCATTAAAAAAAATGGAAACGGCCAGGCATGGGGGCTCACGCCTGTAATCCCAGCACTTTGGGAGGCTAAAGCGGGAGGATTGCTTGAGACTAGGTGTTCGAGACCAGCCTTGACAACATAGTGAAACCTAATTTCTACCAAAAAAACCCCCAAAAAACAATTACCTGGGTGTGGTGGCACATGTCTGTAGTCTCGGCTACTCAGAGGCTGAGGCAGAAGCATTGCCTGAACCCAGGAGGTTGAGGCTGCAGTGAGTTGTGATCATGCCACTGCACTCCAGCCTAGAAGACAGAGAGACTGACTCAAAAAAAGTGTGTGGCTCAGTGAAGCTCTAAGGTATGTGATGGGCTGGCTAGATGTGAGGGGTGTCCCTGGGGCTGTGGTCACTGTGAGGCTTTACCCAATTTTCTCCAATGTAGGTAGATATTTCTGTTTATCATATGCAGAGGTGTGTGTGTGTGTGCGTGTGAGACATGGATGTGATGTGTCATCTACACGAAGACGTGACAGCACTCATGCAGAGGTGTTAGAATACACAGTGACTGATGACTGCACACAGCCCCCTCTTCCACAGATTTCTGTGCACCTGAGCCTTGGCCAGGAACTCACAGAGCCTGCAGAGACAGTCAAGCAGACAGACACATAGTGAGAAGAGCACCAGATAGGGCTGAGCTGTGGCGAGAAGGAGCCCAGCTCACTGCAGCCTCAATCTCCTGCAATCCTACCTCAGCCTTCCCAGTAGCTGGGACTACAGGCACACACCACCAAGCTTGGCTAATTTTTAAATTTTTTGTAAAGATGAGATGTCACTTTGTTGCCCATGCTGGTCTCCAACTCACCAGGATAGAACTTAGAATTTAGCCAAATCCAGGGCATGGGGGATACATGTGCGAGTACTGGCCAAGAGTGGCCCAAATACCATGGGCTAAGGTCGGTGGCAGCAGTCATTGAGGACAGCTCCTTCCAGAATACTGGAGCTGGTGGCATGTGCCTCTGGTGGCAGTGAGGCCAGGGGCCAGTCTTGTTGTGGGAGCTGGGGGCTGTGATGGGTTTTTCCAGGTTCCACGCAAGCCCCTGCTCAGCATGTGGCTTGGTCACCATAAATTCTTGAGGTGGCCTGTGGACCTGGGGGAGCTCTGGTTAAGACTAAATCGGCTCACCCTGCGGCTCTGGAGCTTGTGTCTCCACATTTTCTACCCTCAAGTCTAGGGGAGCTTCACAAACCCTGACAGCTGCCAGGCATTTAACTCCCACTCTCGGGATAGGTAGGATTTGCCTGGGATTTAACTCTCACTTTAGGGTTAAGTAAGTCGATTATCAAGGGCTGAGTATTTTAGCAGTGAGAGAAGGTTCGTGCAGGGTGGGGGGGCCTGCTGTATCCCTAAAGGTCAAGAGGTGGACCGTGACCATCGGAGTAGGTGACAGGGAATAAGTCCAGGTGCTGGAGTGGAGGAAGCTAGGAGGATGAGGGAGAGCAGAGCACCCAGGACAGGCCGGCCACACAGGGGTGGAAGCCAACGAGGACCCAGAGCTGCGCCTTAGTGTGTCGCTTGGGAGCTCGGCTGTCACTCAGGCTGCCGATGGCGGCCACCCCGCGAGCGTGGACGGCTAGGTGAGACCCTGGATCTCACGTGGCGCCTGCTGGGGGTGACCGCGCTCCCGTCCCCTGTCCGTCCCGTCGAGCCTATCAGGGCCGCACTTCCTAGAATCCGAGGTCAGCCGCGCGGTTTGGGTTGAGCGAGTCCCACACGGGTTGTAGTAGCCACGCGGCAGCGCCGGGGGCGGGGCCTGGGCGCCGGGGCGGGACCCGGAAGTGCGAGCCAGCCTCATCCCTGTTGGCCGCGTGGCTGTGCATCCCGGCTGTTGCCGATAAAGTTGTTTGAAGCCGAGCCGGCGGCGAGTCACGTGAACGGAAGATGGCGGCCCCGGCAGGCGGCGGAGGCTCCGCGGTGTCGGTGCTGGCTCCGAACGGGCGGCGCCACACAGTGAAGGTGACACCCAGCACCGTATTACTGCAGGTGCGGCCGCTGGCCCGGGATGGACTGGGGATGGGAGGGGGACGCCGCACCAGGGCCGGGGCCCCGCCCCCGGCGGTCGGCGTCCGAGGTCTTCGGGGGCGGGGCCGCAGGCGGGGCCCGCGACGGCCAATGAGCGGCCTCCTGCACGGGCGGCCCTGTCCCCTTCTCGCGGGTCGCGGGCACCTGCGCTTCTGCTGGGGTCCTGTGAGGTTGTGTGGGGCGGGTGGCGACCCCTTCTGAGGGTGCGGGAGGGACGCCACCGCCTGTCTCCCCATTCTACTCCTAGGCTCTTATCTGAGCCTTGCCTCCGAGGGAACCGGAAGAGAGGAGCCCCGACCTGTGCCCCCATCCCCGGGTCGTGTTCCTGGACACGGTGCCCGGTTTGCGCAGTGGCTAGAGTTGCTGGCTTTGGTGCCTGGAAGCGATTTTTGCCGAGTCACTCACTGCACTTTTACTGGGGCAGCTTGTGACCTCGAATCAATTAAGTTTAAAAGTGTTTATTGAGCCCCTGCTGCGTAGGGAACCCTGAGGTGCAAAGGTTCAGTCAGCTTGGTGCCTGCAGGAGTAGCACACAGCATGAGGTGGCAGGGCCTGGGCAGGTGAATGACAGTGTGGAAGGCTGTTTAACTGGTGCCTGTTGAGTGCAGAAGCGGGGCCTGCGACAGGACCCGTTTCAAGGATCTATTTGTGCTGGTGCTCAGGGGTCAGCTTATGGAGAAGAGGGGCAGAGTGGTCCAGCAGTGGGAGCAAGTGCACAGAGGGTACCAGGGCCACAGGGTGGCCTGTGCTGGGCAGGTTTGAGGCAGGTTACAGAGCTAATAGTTTTGAACTTTATTGTCTTGGGGGGAAATTCATCCCAGGGTGTGTGCTAAGACGATGCCTGTGGTAATAGGCTGCAGGGCGACACCACAGAGCTGGGGAACGAGGCAAGACATAGGGGGTTTTCGGTGAGGAAGGGAGGGAGAGTGGACAGGATTTGCAGATGAGACACCTGAAACTGTTGAGTGGAACATCTTTCGTGAGGTCTCGTCCTAGGTTTTGTCTGGGTAGAGCCTGCTGGCTCACCAGGGAGCTGAGTGCCCTTGGCTAGCCTTCCCACTAAGCCTGCCAGACTGGCCACACTCAGTGGTTCACCGCTCTTTTATCTCGCTCCTAGGTTCTGGAAGACACGTGCCGGCGGCAGGACTTCAACCCCAGTGAATACGATCTGAAGTGAGTTGGCTAGGGCTCAGCTGCAGGGTGCAAGTCGATCTGCTCATTTCTCCCTGAATATACTGGCTCTGGCTTGGAAGAGCCCCACTGGGTGGCTTAAAACAATGGAAATGTATTAGCTTCCAGTTCTGGAACTGGCAGGGCCACAGTCTCTCCAAACGACCTAGGGGAGAATGTTTCCTTTCCTCTTCCAGCTTCTGGCAACTCAGGAGTTCCTTAGCATGTGGCTACATCACGCCGCTTTCTGCCTTCATCTTCCCATGGCCTTTTCTACTCTCTGAGTCTCTCATCTTCTGTGTCTTATGAGGACACTCGTAATTGGACTTAGGGCCCAACCTGATAATCTAGGAGGATCTCACCTTAACTTCCTTAACTTCAAATACCTCTACAAAGACCCATATACCAAATAGCATCACGTTCACAGATTCTGGAGGTTAGGACATTGACCTGTCTTTTAGAGGAACACCATTTGACCCAGTATAGAAGATTTTAGTGCATTTGATTATGTAAGTTCCTGATGGGGTTCTGAGGTCAAAGAGCTGGTCATGGAGAAATGGGAAGAAACCCTGAAAACTGCTGGTGGATCCTGGCAGCCTTTACCCCCTGGAATTACATGTGTGGTTCTCTGTGTGTTGGTATTATTCCCAAGAGAGGGCTTTCACCAGATTCTCAAGGGTCTGAGACAACAGAAGGGTCAGAGCCCTCAAATTGGTGAGATGTGGGTTTCTCTTCTACATGCATGACTTTTCACTTTAAAGACCTGACTTCACAGTATCATTGTCCTAGTTTGGAGGCAAAGGCAAGAGCCTGCCCTCTCAGCCTTGCCTACACTGCCTTATGGGACTCTCTGGGGAGGGCTTTCTTATGGGTGCTACCTACAATTCATCCCAGTCTTTCATCTCCTGTCCTGATCATGTGATAGTCCCAAGATAGGTGCTCCGAGTGCAGGGTGAGCATCCTGCCACAGAGCTTCCCATCTCTCTCCATCCTCTGTTAACCTATCCAGAGTCTGTGTGATAGTGTCTTTTTTTTTTTTTTTGAGTTGGAGTCTCACTCTGTTGCCCAGACTGGAGTGCAGTGGCTGCTCCTGGCCACCACAACCTTGACCTGCTGGGCTCCAGCAATCCTTCCGCCTCAGTCTTCCAAGTAGC